AAAGACTCATTTTGTTTGACTTACCATTGAAATAATATTCTGTATCCTTACTCGTACATAACTATTTAATAATTGAAAACTTTTTGTTAACCAGACCAGCTTTTTGGAATTATTGATATAATTATTCTTATATCATATACTTTAAGATGAAAATCTTGAAAGTATATATGAACAGTAATATTTTTGATGATTTATACACGTGATTAATTCAACAATTGATTAAATGGTATAAAAGTGAATTCACTTGGTATTGTTTGGCTTGTATCTTCCCATTGAGATTTAAGACTGCAATTGATCAGTATATAAGTGATTCTAAATTAGTATTCAGTTTTGATATATATGTTGTAATATGAATCATTAGTGCTCTTTCATTTTACCAAAGATATATGACTCTCAAGAAATATATACGATGTTTCCTGGAAGTGTTTAGTTGATTAATCTGTAAAGGTCATAATAACTAGTAACATAGAACCTATAATTCATGAAATGATAACTACAGGCTGTATTTGTAAGATCGATTTCACTAACAATTCTCTTAAAAATATACTAGAGAATCAGAATTAGAGTCTAAAATGGGTTTAGATGAAGAGTTATCTTTTTGAAAAAATTTGAGTTGGAAAATTCACACGATACCAACCATGATATTTTCACGAAAATGCAAAGTATTATACTATATTATAGAGTTATAGTTTTTTTTATAAACTCCAAAGTTTGATACGTTTTCTGAAACTAAGTTGAAAGTGATTATTTCAATTTCGATACAGTTTTTATCATTATTTGTAATTCAAGGCACACTGAATAACTTCTTCGAGATTCCTCAGCCATAGACATCTAAAATCTCATTAGTTAGTGAATAAAAAACACTAACATTTGAATTATTTATGCATTTATTGGGCGGCATAACATTATGTAAATTCATGTTTTGTTTTGTTCATTCAAATATCATTATCATAACGCCTTTATTCTATACATTTTTATTACAACAATAATAACTTTAAAGAATTTAACATTCTTTTTCTTTATTGAATCAAATATCATGAATTTGTATCGTTTACATAAGATGGCTAATGAGAAAAAAACACTTTGACCAACTTAAAATGAATAAATTTTTATTAATATAAGTACGTTTACTACAAATTATAGGCTTATTTATTATTAAAGATTAATGTGAAGCTGTCAATGAACATAAACTTATGAAATCACAACAATAATGACTAGTTTCAATTTTATTCAGAAAATCTTACTTTTCCTACTGGAATTTTTCATTTTCAAAGTTATTCATCATTTTTACTTCCGTTTAGTATCAGAAGGGGTTTTGTGGTTAATATAGTAAATTTAATAGTTGAGATCGTGAGTCAACTGAAGCTAGACCAGCATGCAAAACCTGGAAACACTGGAGGGCCGGCTCAGTGATCTGGAGGTTAAACGTTCGCGCGCGAGACCGATAAGCCCTGGGTTCGAATCCCGTAAGGGGGGATCGTGGATGCACATTGATGAGGATTCTCACAATAGGACGAAATGGCAGTCCACTGCTTCCAGGTTTTTCATGATGGTCTAGCTTCAATTGACTCATTATCTCAGCAATTAAAATTTCCTTTAATATTTATCAGAAGTACAAGGATATACATGTACGTGTCATCCAATAAAGAAAATTGTACATTGTACTATAATTTTGAATATTTTTTCTCTCTCTCTCTCTCTCGAAATCAACCCAATAAAAATATGAAATATTCTGAAAATTCTCTTGAGGATCTCATATACATGGGATTCTCAATACAATAAAATTCAAAACACTTAGTCTCTTTGATAAATTTCGATAATGTAATAAGAACACGAAGACTATCAGTACTATGTGATATGTAATTGCAACAGGTCATAAGATTGATCTAAACTCGGCTTTTGTGGTGTTGTATGAAAATGTAAAAGGGCGTATACTAAGGTCTATTAAAGCCTTAGCCATACGAAAATTCAAACCCCCTGTATGTGTTCAAAAACCTTAAACCTACCCTGGTAATATTGACTTGTTATCCAGAGTGATTAGGTTTTGAATTGTGTTCACATTATTATTATTATTACTCTTATCATTATCCTTATCTCCTCTTACCCCATTTCCAGTCTAGTTGACCTTTTATTTTTATATATAAATGCTCTTAACAAGTGTGTGTGATCAGATTGTTCGAAATGTATTGCGCTAATAGATCACATAGTTCTGATAATCTTCGTCTTCTTATTACATTATCGACAATAAAATTCATTGTTACATAACAAAACCCAATATATATTTTGAGAACTAATTGAATTTTAATTTAAAATAACCAAAACAGTGCGACATGATTGATCAAGTATATATTCAGAAGAAAGTTTATTAAACAAATACAAAAGTAATTTTGAGTGATAAAAAAAGAAAAAAAAATTATTTCAACCATGGTAAATAAGCTTCATTATAAATCATTAGCCTATAGTTTATCCTTTGATTTGAAACCAGGCACTAGAAATGAAATACATAAAGAATATTCCTTGCAGAGATATTATTGAAAAGGATTTTTAAATGATAATAATATATAATTTTATAACTACTTATTATTACCATTGTTGTATGCTAAACTTTCTACATTATATCAATTATAACCTGTGTGAAAATATCTCCTAAATGAAATACACCAATACATTATACTGTAATTATCCTTAAATACTAAAAAATTCACTCTAATTTCAATCAAGTGGTAATTCAATCACATGACAACACGTGAAAAATAAAAGCTGAGAAAATATTACTTAACTGTGTTATATTATGACATTTATGTATAAATATTTTTTTGATTAGTTAGGAGAAAAAAATGTTCTGCCTTCGTACGTTTAATGAAATCATTTTAGATTTGTATTTTTGTTTACAACTTCATTCTACAGAATTAAATTCATTCTCATGATTAGTCTTATTGAAAAATAGAAATAATAGAAGACAACGCCTAACTTGTGAATTATTATTTACCAAGAATACATCGCTACTTTTAAGAAAAGATATTTTTAACTAATCTAAAATTATCAGAAGGGGTTTTGTGGAGATTTTAGTAATTTCAATAGAGGCATTTCCTGGAGTTCTAGTGAGAAGCCGTTACCAGTGGAGTTCAACCAGGTCTGTTGTGAGATATCAGCTCACTGAAGACAATGGTGTATGGTGGAGCAATTTCGTGGATTAGTTGAAGTTAGACATTAACACTGTTGGATGCCGGCTCAGTGGTCTAGTGGTTAAGCGCTCGCGCGCGAGACTGATAGGTCCTGGGTCCGAATCTCGCGGGATCATGGATGCACACTGCTGAGGAGTCCCATACTAGGACAAAACGGCCGTCCACTGATCCCAGGTTCTTCATGGTGGTGAACCGAGGCAACTAAACAAGGTATAGTTTAATTGGTATGTTAGCTAACTTTACCATCCAATGAACGTAATGCAGCTCACAAGTGAAATTATATAAATAAGGTAAGACTGAATATCACTGGGGTATAAAATATTGATGGAAAGTATAAATCCCTTTTGTGTATTTGTTGGCGAACATCAATATAGTATATCTGGAACGACATAAAGACTCGGGGAAACTAGCTGCCTTAAAAATATAATAGTGTATTAAGGACTGACGGTAAATCAGTTGATGAGGTTGTGAATCTAAATCGGCTGAGATGGTTTGGCCACGTATTACGCACGTCCAACCACCGATTACCACGGCACACAGTCGTGACTAGTGTCGGAGACGGATGGAACAAAGGGGCGGCCAAACCAAAACGTGGCATCAGTCCACAAAATCACTAACTTCTGGTCTGAGCCACGATGGTATATGCAGATTACTTAGTTGGGGTCCGCGTAACTAATGTAACCAATGGTTGCGCACTCTGGGTGACATGGCTTAGAATCTATCGCAATGGCGTAGGTGTATATATACGTTATTTCCCCTTGGACCATATCCTTAAATGGAATGTCTTTTTGTATATTATTACCACTGAAGTAACTGCTCCTAAAAATCGGTGTTCATCTTGTTGTGCTAATGAGGTATGGCAACTTTGACCGATGCATATATGTTTGTGGTCCTACACTGTAGGTGATTGACTGGCGAAATGTAGTTGGCATATGATAGTTGGGCTTGTCCGAAACACTCGTTTCCGTACATCAAACAAAGAAAGCATAATGATGGTGTTCCTCTATTACTGTTGCGCAGAAATCCAGATATACTAGCTGAATCAGATCTAGCCAAAGCTGAGATCTCATCAAAATAGATGAATCATCAGTGAGGATCACAAAATATGTAGAGCTATTTTCAAAAATGTTAAGAACATGAACTTGTATATGATATTATGATGTGTCTTCTTAACGAAGAGTTAAATAGCTTTCGAAATAAGTAGAAGAGCAGTTGAGAAGTTGACCAATAGTAATTTTCCCATATCTCCAGCAAAATATTATTAATGATCGATGTCACTATGGGGATATGTATATCCTCCACTTACTTTATTTGCCACGTAAGCAAAACCAAAAACAATCACATATATCTTCCATTTATTAGAGTAACCCACTTTTCAGGCAATAATAATTATAACAATTGCAAATGTAAGATTATTTCATTTACAATTCACTTATGTATAAAATAAAATTCTAGTCATAGAATTAAGTTAATGATCTTTTGTACAACAGATTATCGAAATTGAGAAAAACCAAAAACCGAAAAATAATAAAGAAAACCGAATGGCTATTCAAAAGAGGAATGAAATTGCAACCAATAACTGTCAAAGTATCGAACGAAAATAAGACATAAATTAAAATATACTCGAACAAAGAGATCACTTGAAGTAACAAGTAATACAATTTTATCGACTTGAAAGTTTATATGTATCGACTAGTTCTTTGACAAGAGAGGAAAATGCAGGAAAACAAATCTACGAATATACTACAAATATTTCTACTAGTTGTGTAAACACACATAACAATCGAATTGTCGACAGGATAGAATAGACTATGACTAGTAAATACGTCGATCAAGTTCTTCTGAACCGTTGGTACAAGGCAGTTCATTTAGCCATTCCGTACGTTCTAAGTGTGAATTAGGTTTAGATGTGATGTCCAACTGATGCAAACACCGAATCGTCGTTACCACATCTAAACTGATTGACAACGTAGCATCTCTTAATCGTCGGCCAGCAATCCACATTGAAGAAACCAGGAAGCAAATGTTATACGTTAATATGACTAGGCCTAGCCCATAACTAGGCGAAACAGATGAATAGCCGAAAGCACGAGAAATAAACTGACGGAAAATCGATTGTTTTTTAGCTTGGATCGGGCGGGGTACCGTTAACTCATCTAGATTATTCGGAGAGGAAGAACTAAATGGATTAATTATATGGATAAAATTAAACCAGTTGAATGAATCGAAGTATGTGCCACTGATCAGTTTTGTCCACCAACTGATAGATTTTTTGCTCGATTTTGTACTCGGACAGTTGGACGTATTTTCAGCACAAACAAATCGGTTTTGTGAAGATTCGCAGACATGACTTGAACATTCTGAATATGTGGGTAACATGATAGCTTCTGTTTTAAGTGGACTAGGTAAGGTGAGTGTGGTTAATCCTAGCAGATTGGTTTGCAGAGGAAGTGCGGCACTTAACATTAGGAATAACAAAATGTTCGCCAACATGATATCCAAACTCGTTGCGTGATATCTCGGTCGAAGAGAACGAGCACATGGGAGTGAGTAAAAACCCCACAAACTTAATACAAGAAGAAACAGCACCAGACAGACCTAGAAAGGAAATAATCAATCAATTGAGAATGCGATAAACAGAATGTTGTAAAACTTGAGTATTATTTATTATATTTAACGATAGGTTTGAAAATATAAGCTCTATAATAATTACACAATTTTAGCAAAGTAGCATTGGAGACAAAACCTATTATACCTAAAACGACTAGATATTTTGGTCAACAGGTGAAATTCCCTGATTGTTTACTACTTGTGTTTATTAAAGAGATTTTAAAACGTCATAATAAAACAAGTATTAAAAGTGAAAAAATACAATCCAGTATGATGTCTGTTGTAAACGCAAGTGTTCAAGGAAAATAACAAAAACTGTTGAATAATGTTCTAGGTGCCATGAGAACTTTTTCGTTTATTAATGATAGACGCAAACACAAAAATTCCTACCCTTTGATTGCATATACAGGAATTTCGCCGCGATTATTATTGGGGCGCAAGTCAGGAAACTCGTTTTAATAAACCTAATAGGTGGAACAAAGACCATAGGAACTTAAACTTCAGCTGGAACCATTGAGCCACATGACGTGTACAAGTAGTGGATGGCGTAAAAACCTAAATACGCTTTCATATATTAAACGTCTTTATCAAACTAAATCCATCAGCACTGTGGTGTACTTTATACTTATACAGCAAAACGGTGAACACTAGTGCTTATGGAGCGAAATGAGCATAATTATTAATGGTCGGCTTGAACTGTATTATTAATACATAAAATCACATGCAGGGTAGATATCCGTAGAAGCCCGTATGTCAACTGACTTATTAATCAAGTAATAAAAATGACTGGAAGACGTTATTCATACCTACCAGTACCTTTAATCCTTGAATTCAGAATCCGGTCTAATTCATACTCCAAAATAGGGTTTCAGAATATCATTATGAAGCATGTACAAGCACAGCTGTTTATCGCTGGAATCGAAATATCAGAACAGGTACAATTTCTTTAATATTACAAACACAATTTGATGAAGATTGGTTGTATGTGAGAAGCTTGCGTGTATGATGCCCAATCAATACCATTCAAACAGCAATATAATGAAAAGCTTTGTAAGCTTAGCAGAATAGGACGTCTCAACTATTATGTATTAAGTGTAATGTGAGTGGTTTATGTAATTGCCATTTAAAATACCATATGATTACAGATAAGCAGACACGGTAAAAATGTTTGGAACCAGTTATATCTCACTTATTTACATACACAAGAGCATATGCAAATGAAAAAATTACCTGGAAAGCAGCCCCAATATGTCCAAGTGACGAAACAGGTTTTAAGCCAAGTGTAAAACTGTAATCTGCAGAATTACCCGGAAATGATGAATAATCTTTGCTTTCCGTTGTCACTAAATAACTACTGCTGTCTTTACTACCATAACCGCCAAAAACCATACTCCATAAGAGATCAATGATATTGAAGAATACAAACGATTCCAATAAGCGAAACAGAACAAAAAGCAAGATTAAACAGAAGAAATAAAAAAGTAAGTGTGTAGATTCGCGCATAAATCGCAAAAACGTACGTGCGTTTATACGTTGTTTAATCTGTAATATTTCTAAGTTCAACAAATCCAACTCATTTGTATACTTGAGTAATAACTCTTCTTTTGACTTGACATCGGTGTAATTCCGAAAACAGATTGATTTATGAACCAAAAAATTACCTTCCTCATTCATCATATTGCCAGCAGTATACAGAAGTTGGACACAATTAATGTCATCCATGACGGTTAACGCTTCAAAATTTAATTGTTCAATACGATTATGCAATGTTTGCTTTGGTATTAAATTCGGTAAAGAATGTATACTGATTGTGATTAGGTTTAAGACGATAGACAGTAGACCCACTGGAGTACAAATAAATAATAATAACAGTCCTAATAAAGAGGCTGTCATTTGAATTAATTCTAAGGCTGACATAAATATCACCTGAATGAAAACGTCCTGAAGAAATCTTATCCAGCCAACAGACTTCACGTAATCCAGGAGAAGTGAAACTGGGTGATTTTCATAATAGTCAAGGTGATGAGTAGGACTGACAGAAAAGTAAGTCTGATAATGGGATGTAAGAAATGAGTTGCTATCACTAGTAGGTAACACATCTGATAAAAAATAATAATTCGATGCTGATACAAAGCTGGTTAGCGACCATGACGTACCAAAACATAAAATGTAAAAGAATAAAACCATTGTGAAAGAATAAACCAAGCGTGGTGTCAAGGAATGTGATTTGTATAGAAATCCTTGAGAATTTAACAGAAAATAAGAAAATGGTATAGTTAAATACGATATTTTACACCCGATATTAATAAGCAATATCAAGTCTTGTATTAACTCCCCATTTAACCATTGTACATAATAAGATTTAGGAAAAATAATTAGAATCTCATTGGTGATGATGGTGAACGGCAATAAGCTGTATGAAGTCAGGCCTATAGTCAGTGTAAATGTACATATACCCAAGACCAGTTGGTAAGCTAAACGTTCATCTCGATATGGCTTTAGCTCACATTCCGTTTTAGTTAGAAAATACTGCAGTGTGATATGAGCAATAAAGAAAAGGATGGTGAATAGCAAAAAGACAACAACTAGTCCACGAATTTCATCATAAAATTCTTTTGCTTCATGACTGATCAATACCAATTCATCTGTCTGGTCCATGTAATCATTAATATCTAAAACAGAAGAAATTTGAACATGTGATAGATGAGAGACAAAACAGATATAATCAACAAATTGCACTAGAAATCCATTGGGCATCCATTCATCTTTCACATCTGATTGTTCTGGTTTGCTAAGTAGATTCAAGTGATTTAAACACGGAATGTATTGTATGGGTTTCAAAGGAAAACGACGACAGAACATTGTTGTTTTAGCTAACCTATGTATTTTTTCACTTTGGACTACACAACATAAAAATGTTTCTCTTTAACTTGTTTAAATAGTAGGTGTCTTGAAATTTCCTTGTATATTTGAGTTTTTATCAAAGTTGTAATCTATTTTCCAAAACTAAATATCATTAAATGAAAAGCTATTCTTCCTTCAAAAACATTACATTTTTGGTAACCAGTCAGTTATAATCGACAGAGAGACTAACGCAATTACGCGTTAACCCGAGTCGCCTTACCACTGAGCACGATAATATGGAATCAATATAACGAATACAAACCCAGCCAAAATAATTATGGCACCAATGACAGTGAGAGAGACTGAATACAGGATAGGGTTTAAGAAGACAAAATGGAGAGGTTTGTGTATGAAGAAATACTGGGGCTAGCTCTAGAAGATATGGTTTGATCGCATTTACGCAAGTAAAGGATTTCGTGTCAAATCACCAAACGTCTCCAACTAATAGTTGAGATAATCAAGAGGGCCCTAACGAGGTAGTCTGGACCAACCTACAGACCTTGACCCAGCAGTCGATAACTCCACAAAATTATGCTACACCTTGATTATTCCGCCCATACTTCTCTATCAACTTATTCTTATACTAGCCAAGATTTCATGTCAAGGCACCGAGTAGCTGGACATACGCAAACTCGTTTTTAGTCAAGTCATATACGAAGTACAAAGTTCAGCCCTTGTCCTCGGACGATAATCTACCCCAAAATGCCCTGGTACGGCCAAGAGTGGGGAGAGTCAGCTCTCCCTTTCGAAATGCATCACATAGCCAGGTGCATACAACCACTGTCAGGAAGTCCTACTCACCGCCTCCTCGCGAAATTACTGTTGTTTATGAAATTGAGAAGACGATATGAGAATGTCTGGCGTTTTAACCGACTCAGTGGATATGGAATATCCACCTAGGGGAGTTGGAAAACCCTGATTCCAAAACAATGGTGCACATGGGCTCCAGGATCCTAAGGGAACAAAAGGCTTATAAACCTGTTGTCGGTCATCGGCTACCACAGGACCGTATCTCCCGACGTTGCTCCACTGCCTTGTGGACTAGACCTTTAGTTCAAAGACTCCGGGTGTGACCCCCTGAGAAAACCACCTGCTTCGGGTTGGGCACCCGGGCAGTATCCCAGCCCTCCCACATAGGGTATGATTTATGTGGCGCATATCTGTTTGGTGCTTCTTTGTACCAATGTTTACGTTTGAATAAATAAAACATTTGAGTGAAGGGGCTAGAGATATTACTTGGTTGTTTAAACTGAAGGAGTGGGGTTCTAATCTGCGACGTAGTGGTTGAAACCTGAATGCCTTAACTACTGATTCGTCGTTCTCACTTAGCACATGTCCCTACTATATTAGTCGATGAGAATTTACAGCCTTATTCGATTTAGCGGGATTGCTTTGTACCATGCATCTCAAACTTACATTTTTAAATCGGTACTTCCAGCATTAGCAAGAAATGTGCAGAAGACGTCTATTAGAAACATACAGTCTAAGCATGCCTTTTACTTTTATAATTCCAATTTCATATCCATAAAATAAAACATACTGCCATACAGTATTAGTTGCACCTTGATAAGCAGATAAAAATATCACCTACTCCGTAATCTATACAATTTTGAAAAAAAACGAAATCTGACTACACACCAACCCACTAGAGCTGATGAGTCTTCTAAACTTAGTGCAATGTTCAATGAATTCAACCATTTCATTACCTACGATCACTCTAGGCGATGGCACAGGCTAATCCCGAAGCAACATTCTGTATGTAAGACAGAAGAGGGTCCAAAAAATTTGCTTATGTTCCTACTCAAGATTTCAGGGGAGCCACATTTTGTCCGCGTACTTACCAAATAGAACTATTTTTTTCTGTATTTCAAGCCTAAAGGTGAATTATGCAGTGAGAGAATAACCCCTAAATAGTCAAAGAAACTGTTGTCTCTCAAATTACGTCTATGATGAAGTTAAATAAAAATAGGGGTAGTGTACAACTGTGACGAACACCACTTGAAGTCCACAAACATAACAGCTTGCAAAAAGCTCCAAATGGGTTAAATGTTCGAGTAAACCACTTTCACTAAGTTTATGCACTTCTTTGAATTACATTTCAATGACAAACATTGCCGCATAGCACCTCGCCGATTTCGTTGGAACTACATAGAACTTTTGGACTCAGCTGTTTGTGAATATGAAAGTCACTAGTCATGAATGACAACTACTTACACTCTCCATTAACGCACAATTTAAAAGAACATCACACGTTTTGGACGCATTGCTCACTGAGTTTGTGAAGACCACCAAAAGTGAGGTTCAACAGGTAGCGATATAAAATAATAGGTAGTTTTATTCTTTGCCAGTACCACACAAACCCGATATTTTGGTATTTACTCGGTCACGTAGTCGCTGTGCGGCAATTTTATCTAACTTATATGAAATAGGTTTTATTTCAGAAGCGATGAACTTGACCAATAGTTGAATATACTGTCACAACTATAGATAAGCAAATATCAGGTGCACGACAAAAAAATTCAGGAGAATTGTCAGCTAAATCAAGAATATCTAATTTGACAAATGTAGGATGTACATTTGATAGATCGAGTAATAAATGTATATACATATAGTATGGAAAATTCTCATGTGACGTTATTGTGTTTAGTTTATGTATTGCTGAATCAACGCTCAGCCAAATGACTATTTTATGATTTTTAGAATACACAAGCGCCATTACAACAACCGATGACATTCAAAGGCCTCACTACATGTTCACTAAACTCTAATGAGTATGGTGTGAACAACAGAAGAAACTACGTGTTGTAAAGATATTGTCAACCAACTTAGACACGAGGACTTGTTTTTAATCGAAAAATTTTGGATAAATAAGTAAACATACCAAGTCATGTTATTTCAGAAAATAATCCAAAAATGAATTGTGATGGATCTTGTGATTTACCAAACAATAATTTACAAATATAGGAATGTCTACCAATATCAGATCTGGAAAAAGTGGTGAAACATAAGCAGATCAGTTTTGTTTGAAAGAGAAATAAACCTAGAAAAAATAAATTTACCAAAAACATAATGTCCATAAATAGCTTATAACAAGCGTTTTAGATGAATGTTTATCGAAAATATCGCGTCACAACATTTCACAAGGTACCTAAATGTGTGTGGATCATCAGGGTGCACAAGTAGCATGATAGATGAGATCATGTTTCAACAGAACTAGTGTACTTTAATGTGGCAACAACTGATATCAGTAACACGAACTTAGCTTATAGTTTGATACAACATTATACGACGCGTTGTGTGTATCACGTCATAATTTTGTTTATAAAACCGGAAACGTGAGAGTTCTTTGCATCTAGAAATGGACTATTAAAAGGTTAAGCACACCTTGATTGAAAAAAGGTAGAGAATATCAGTCCTCACGATCACAAGAACACTTCAACATTGGTTATGATGATAATGAAGTATATAGTGAGGTGCCACTGCTTTTCATAAACTCAAACAAGAAGCCACGGGATCTTACTGCATAGCTTATGATGCACAATGAAACAGATGGAACACTTTTATTCTCATTCTTTATAATCGCTCTCGTCAAGTGTCAGGTTAACCGGTCAACTAAGCAAAACAAAGCCATCTCTTCATTAAAGTCCTTTTTGACAGAGCTGTTGATAGAAAGTGATACCCAACTGCTCTTCAAATTATTAAAATAAAGTCCAATTAATAATAGAAGGTGCAATTAACATATAAAATGGCTTTGACAATTCCAAAATAAAAACGATGAGTAGTACTAGTTGCACGTACTATCACCAAATGTAAACAGGCCAACATTTGAAAATAGATTTGTTGTTTTTTTCCAGCTCAAAGATTTGTAATACACTTTAGGTGGACGAAACTGATTATTTCATCAGTCGACAACGTCTACCATGATAATAATGAAGGGTTTACTATTTAGTTTAGCTGAAGTATTGGATATGCTTTGAGGCCCGAGAATTTTTGGACTATCTAGAAAGTAGTTCACTATCCTAAATTGTTTGATATGTACTGTGTAACTCGTCGGATGGTTAAGGATGCCATTGGAATAAACCCATCGATCAGATGCAAACCATTTTCAGTTTAGTCGTTCCAAATGTATCACTTGAGCAATCGATAATCTTCAAATTATAAAGTAATGCCTGGCTTACCTATACCACTGTGAGAAACACTCTAAAACCGAGGACTCAAAGATTGTTTAGAGCGCCACATCACCTTGATATGTAGTTAAACCTCACAGGTCAAACAATTGATTTCTAAAACTATAAGAGTATGTGACGAAACTTGAAAACATTTTGGCCTACAGAAGCATAAAGAGTAAGTGAAGCTATGAATTCCTTCCCACATGTCACATGTTATCGTGTATTTTAGATATCTTTATGTATCAGTCTTCAGTCTTCAGTAATAAGGATAGTAGGTTGATGAACCTGTGTTAATCCTGACACATTGCTTTCCAGTGAAGGTCCAGCTTTTCCTTGAAAGTATTCACTGATGGGGCTGATACCACTTGTTCGGGTAAGGCGTTCCAATGATTGACTACTCGATGAGAAAAACGGGATCCCACTTTAAGTTTATTAGATCGTGGTTTATGAACCTTCTTGCTATGACCTCGGAGATTATTAGTGCTGGAGGGAGCAAAAAGATAAGACATATTAACACCCAAATCATAATTAAAGATACGAAATGCCAGTATAAGGTCACCTCGTGTCCTACGATACGACAAGGGGAAAAGATTTAGGCGTTTTAAGCGCTCATCGTAAGGGAGTCTAGAAAGACCCTTCACTAATTTCGTTCCCACACGCTGGGCACGCTCAAGGGAGTTAGTATCCTTTACTAGACACGGGCTAGCTGCTTGGATACAGTACTCTAAATGTGGTCTAACATATATGGGATATAAAATTCGAAACGTTTCCTCGTCAAAAGATTTGAACGCTCGGCGAAGTGACCATAACGCACGAAAATCTTTGACAGCGGCTGCTTTGCAATGCGCAGTTGTTTTTAAGTCATGACTTAATATTACTCCTAAGTCCTTATGCTCTTGAACGCATGGAAGAGGTTTACCCTCAATAGTGTAACGGTAACTATTACCGTGACCGACGTGCATTAGTACACTCTTCCTAGCATTTATTTCTAAGCCCCACTCTCGAGCCCATCAGTTGCGAACGAAATTCTTACCGTTCCATGTCACATAGCCTTTATCTCGGTTCATAAGTAGTTTAATGTTGTTATTATTCACTATCTAAGTAAACGGTTAGTCAACTGCAACGTGGCAATATTGTATTGATCTATAGGTGCCACATGTATTCGGAGTTTGACAGCGTCTTAACCAATAACGCCTTCAATGATCGAAACATGACAACCCAGTGTTGCGACGTACAAAGACGTATGTACTATATGTTATGGCAGTTTTAACGAAAACATCGGTTGGTCGTGGTTGAGTGAAAACAGGTTTAACTGAACACGTTAGATTTGTAAGACTGCTCGTGTAAGAGTTTAGATCCTTATTCATTGGTGCTAGTGAAGGATCCACGAACTCTCCTGGATGTTGGAGTGTCGTCCCACAAACTACTTGAGCTGCAGTGTATCCAATATCAGCTTTTGCTGCAATACCAAATAAGATGAATGGAGAAGCGTCGGTTCACTGTGAACCGTTTGCAGCTGAGAGTGAAGCTTTGAGCTGTCGTTGAAAGCGTTCTACAAACCCGTTTGCTTGTGGGCGGTAGATGGTCGATCGGAGTCGCACGACTCTTAATAGTGTAACCAGAAATCGGAAAAGTTCAGATTTCAATTGACGCCCACTGATTGAGCGATATTTGACGGCAGTCGAAATTTGCTGCCCATCGTTTGATGAGGGCGTTGGCCACTATTTCAGTAGTAATATTCTTTATGGGTACTGCTTCTGGCCATCGAGTGAAACGGTCTACGTAAGTGAAGATATAGGAGTATCCATTTGAATCTGGCACAGGTCCTACTAAATCCAGATGAAAATCGTCGAAAAAAGCATCTGCAGTTGTGGGAGAGCCTAAAGGACATTTGTTGTGTCCAATCACCTTGGATTTCTATCAGCTTACACAGGAGTGTGCCTGTAGTGGCACTGGACCATAACCACACAATCCTCAAAGGTAAATACGAGATTACTCGGAAGATAGATATTCAATATTTAACTCGGAGAAATACCTAACGATGGACAAGGCGTGAAGAATGAGTTGAATGAATTGGTGTTGTTCGAATCGCATGGCTCGGACATGCAGGCGTGGTCCATGTTATCTTATATCTTTTAACCATATTAAATATACTGTCCTATCTCTAGCCTAAGCTTGTTCTCCATCATGTATTGGCAATTGTTATGATGCAATGAGTTCGTGTAGACGATGATGTAACTTCCACGTAAGATCTTATAGAATAAGCAGTTATATCATGATAAATCTACAATTTTAGGATTAGGTTTATTGTTCGATCAGTACTAATATCATAGTAGACCATAGTTCTACATGCCCATTCTCTCACATTTTTATTCATACTAGGCCAGCAAAATCGTCCTGCTATGAGCTTGATGGTTGCACGAATAACTGGATGAAAATGTTTGTGTAACGTGTTGAAGATTTTGCGCCAATAATGTTTGGACACGACCGAACGATCCCTACCTGTAGGTGTGTCGCATAATAAGGTAAGATTAACTGTCCCCGTTTATTTAATAGGCAGTTTCAAAGTTGTTGAAATTAACTCGTGCTGTAAAACGTTGTCTCCTTTTTTTTGTGCTGAATGAATTTAGGAAGATCGATTTATTGGAAACTTTTTAATGAAGTCATACGAAACAAAGCGTCTGCCGCTACATTCTTTAGGGCAGAAATGTGTTGTATGACCAAAGTGAGCTGAGAAACGTAGTCTAGTTGTCTGAAGCTGAACTCAAAGAGAAGGAGAGGTGTTTGTAATCGGTAAAAATAATGAATTCTCGGCCTTCTACGATGTGTTCAAAGTGCCGAAGATTTAAATAAACAGCACTATCTCCCTAACAAGTGGCTATCAGAACTTAGTAGTTGATTGAATAAAGTGATGGTCTTTGAAGCGAACGGTACTAGGTTCAAGTCACAGAGTGAACATCAAATATAGGATGCCGGTACATCCAGCAGACGAGTCCCAAATAGTACAAAACTGTCACCCTGGATTCCACAGCTGGACGTTATCTTTGCTTTTAGTCTAGAGAATAGCTTAAAATTACATTTGAAGGAAATCGCTTCCATCACCGAATGATTCTTAAATCTATCATATGTTCCAATCCGTTCATAACCAACCTCATATTTTCGGGTGCTACTCGGCGCGCTTTCGAGAATACAGGTGGTACTGTGGTCGTGATGTGGTGTGTAATATTGCTGTCCACACATGGCGATTCCGGTTGTGTTTGGTATATCTCAGGGTACTTTTCGAGTATTTGTTGGTAGTACGGATCGATCGTCTGCCTTACTATGACTGGGGATAATCCACAACCGAAAAAAGAAGTTACACAGATAGACTACTAATTCCGTCTAGCAACCTCCGTTTGCGCTTGTCGAGAAGTAGTTTATAATGTTGTAGCAGGTTTATATCAATGATTGGCATAGAAACATGTGCAGCAACGAAGATCCAGTGAATGGGTTTGCGTAAGTCCATGTTATGGTACAAAAATCGCTTACTATAGGTGGCGACCGGTTTCTCATTTGCCGCCCGTAAGTTGAAAACTGCCTCGTATAGTCGATCGTTAGAATTTGCTGGAAGAACAATAACTTCTGCACCAGTGCCAACAAGGTAGCGAACTGTCGTAATCATATCGGGAATATATAACAGACGACTACGGTTGTCATTATCGGATACTGGCCTGGAACTTTCAAGTAACAATTTCCTTGTAGCGTGGCATCGAGTTGAGATTAACTGTGAACACCGCTACAAAGAAACACGTGCCAAATAAATCAGAAGGCGAGGGTTGAACGTAAATAAATAAATCCATAAAATCCCCGAGAAGCCAAATATCAGAAGACAGTTAATGGACCAAATCGAGATATATTTGCTGGCGATCTCGTGGCATCGAAAGCATACCGAGATCATGCAAGGATACAAGCTTGGTTACAGAACGTAACCGAATTCACGAAGTCACAATCAAAAGTGTGAGTATAAGAATGGAAGCACAATATAGCTGTCATTAGCACAGTCAAACAAAAGCACATTAAAACAAACACTGGTACTGTTGGTTAAAATAATAATTGTTTTTATTAAACCAGTCGTGTTCTCGTGATAAATGTAAGTCACTACATACTTGTCAATCAGTTTGAGGCTTGGGAAACTGCAGAGTTTTCCACAAATTTGAGAAAATTTACTGTACTGATTATGACACCAGAAACACTCAGGATTATCTGTCTCTCGTAATCTAGAGACAGATGGTTTCCGTGAACACACCTTCCAGGAGTTTGAGATCGTCTATAGTTTTGACGATTACTAAAGCAACGTGTCAGAGCATGACAGAGTTCCGTAACGTTATTTTGTGTCGTCTGAGCTTTCTCTTAGACTGAATAGGTGTTGACGTCGTAAGTTCTCGTGATCTACAGAACTCGATCGGCAGATGCAGTCGGTTTGTCTACAGCGTTGTTTTGAAATGAGACGAGCGCTGCTTGAACTTGTTGATGAAGCTGAGACAAGAAAAGTTGTCTAAACGGGCCTTCGCCGAAGATCCATTGACAAATGATCTCTCTCATTCGCAGTAATATATCTGTTGCTGAGCCATGTTGTTGAGGAGTTGGTCTAACTTTTGTCGATCTTTTTCTTCATTAGTAAAACAATGCGTGCTTATTTTGAGCATGGATACTAAACCATGTTGTTAGTTAATACTAATTTATGTCTGTTATAGGTTTAGCGAATGAATTTCTCTAAGCAAAATCTGAAATTACCTATAGACTATTAATTTCTAATTGTTTTCTCCAATGAATTCATAGTGTATGTAAACCGTGAATTACTGTCATTATTCTAAACGTCGCAATTGGATTTCCCACAGATTTCATAGTAATAGTCGAAGTTAGTGAATCAGTTTATATTGTGTTTACTATTCATTCTCAGAGACTAAACGACTAAGTAAAAGTGTAGAAACGTTGAAGAATGAAGGCCGTTGTTCAAACATATAAAATACTTATGACTACATTCAGTCAGACGCTATTTCATTTACGTATTGAATTTACCACTCATAACAAAGTTTGATCGCTTTTTTTCATGATTGATTTATTTTTCAGAGTAGCGTTGATTAGGCTAAGAATCTATCTATATGTTTTCTGATGTGCAACTTATGGCTTCTGTCAATCAATCTCTAATCTGAAACCTTTCCAATATACAAGTCTATACTAGTGAACAACTTATTAGATTTCTGGATATGGAAAATTATGTGAACGAACGTTTGTCCATGTAATGAATTATCTAAATATAAATATAACAACTACATGCAATCTTCGGATTATTTTGCAAAAGAACGCCACAAGCGATGAGTTCGTAGCGTCTCAGATCCCATAAAGGCTTGGTGAAAGTTCATATTCTTTCTGACCACAAATCTTGCAATTATTCACCCGAATATAGTGTTACAGTGAAGAAAGTCATATATACGAAGCAACAGGTTGGCGAAACTTCTAAACTGGTTCAGTACTTATAAGTTCTCACAGCGAAACAGGTACTTGTAAACCAAACACATAGTTATTTCTAATTGTCACAAATAGACACCTGTTGAGATTATCGAATAAACCTTCCCATGAAACTACGATAAAAACATAAACAAAAATTGTGCAAAAGTTTATTGATAAGTCATCACTACAGGTAAAGAAAGAACAACATTTGATGCAGAAAAATGAGTTTATAAGTCGAATATATAATTAAGCAGAAAATGCAAGCACAATGAAGTTATAACAAACATTATCATGAATTTAATAATACTTATAATTAACAGTTCCTGTCACGTCTCCATAGTTTCTTATATTTTGAAAGATGCTTTTGTCGTAAAGAATACTAAGCAAAAATAAAAAGAACCTGAAGTTTTACATAGTTATTGACGACCGTAAATGATATTGTATGATAACTAGGAGTATTCAGATTATTGTACAAACTATAAATCTTCGAAAAAGCTCAATTTAAACCAAACACCTTTTTTAATGCTTGGATTGTGAAATCAGAATTTGGTGAAGTTGTGAAAAAAATTCAGGCCACTTTGGAAAAGAAGCAATGACTACAAGTGCATAGTATCTGCCAAGAAACGGACCACAATAGTCTGCATGAATTCTCTCCCAGGCCTCAGACGATACTAGCCATGGAGTTCACTTCAAAACCTGAGTTTTCAACCGATGACATTTTTTACAATTGCTTGCTGTACGACATATATCTGAATTTATCTCTGATCACCAACATGTGAGCCTTCTCAAGGACTTCGTACCACATCAGAATCTAATGATTTCAAGTTCTTGAGTGAAATAATAAACTCCTTGAAATAACACAATTTAAGTTAGGTATTACTAGGTAAGCATAATCGAACGCATCGTATTTGGAATTCAAAATCAGATGAACATAAATACAAAAAGAATCATTAGTTCATACAAACAACACACTAGTGTTTTTGATTATCCCCAAAATGATGGACTTTTCAACAGAAAATACCATGATTCTGGTTAAAAAAAGAACAAACTGGTAATAATTATTGTTCTAATTTATTTTTATACGTTCTAGAGTCATAACAATATTTAACACATTCGGTCGATCAATATTGTGTACTTTACAATAAGGTATACCTTCAAATATTCTAGCGTACTTTGTAACATTTTTCTCATATTCCACCTGAGGTTTTTTTAAAAAGATGAGAAAGCAAAATAATTGTTAGAAAAAACAATACTGCATCAAGCACTAGAATAAAACGGATTATTAAATAAAGATAATAGATGAAAAACTACTACATGTAAAATAAGTATAAATACGATTATACAATTTTAGTAAGTGATATCGTCCAACAGATCTTCATTGAAGTACCTTTATTTGGATAATGGGTGATATTTCTTATACGAATGTGGATGTTTCAAATTTATTATAAGCAGTACAACATTAGCTGTATATCAGTAATGCTAGTTAATTTTCTCCTAAACAATGAACACAATAATACAGAGCAAAATTATATGTATTTGTGGGCATGTATAAGAATCAACGTATAGATTGACTAATTCTAAAAATAAGCAATAATATTCGAGATGTTTTCAATAACATGTTTAATGTCCTTCTTATTCATCAAGTAATTTTGGCATGAAATTCACTCATCCATTCGGTTAAATAGCGTTTTGACATTTTAGCTGATGAAAACCCTAAATCTAATTCCTCACCCTAACCATCAACTGAAAATCATAATTATAGTCCCTTACACTGGTTTATAACCCTCATTTAGTCCTAGTTTGTAGGTGGACGTTCTGAAGACCAGTTTAGCTTCGCCAAAAGGTCGTCTATAAATCATAGTCTCACCGATTATATTATTGACATGACAGTAAGCAAATAGGGAACATTAATAACAATGAACTGGTAGTATATATATACAATAAACCGATGAGCGGAAAACTGAATCACAGACGTTTTGTAACGTAGTTCGAGTTGCTTCTTGAGAAAGGTTTTTCAGATGGCACTTCAAATTAATAAACGTTTAAACTTGTGAACTATCGATGAGTATATACAGCAGTATCGAGAGTTTGCAACAAACGCCTTTGAAAGGGCAGATGATCATTGTATAAATTGGGGAATAGTTCTTTTCTCAACAATTTGGTTGTTGTGAATGACTAACTGCAGGTGATTGTAATTGTTTTGGCCGAGACAAACAGATGTGTCAGTGAACGATTTTTAAATGTGTAGAGAAATAATAATTAAACTAACGATTGAGCATCAGCTATGGAAATTGAAATCGTACTTCTACGAGTCAGTTATGTGGTATGTCATACTGGGGCGCATTAAAATGTATTATTTATTTGAAATGATTGAGTCAATTCATTGTGTAATACGTACAAAGAATATTAATTGTTTGACTGAAAATTCAATTTAATAATTACATTCCCCACCATGAAATCGGTTTATAAGACTCCCTGTCACAGATTTTGTGATCTCTGGTATTTTCGTCACTGTAGGGTACATTAAACTAAGTGAAAACCACGAAATAATGGGTTAGCGATTTGAACAGCAACTGTTTTATTATTGTAATGTGCACATAGGTATTTTAACAAGTGATAAAATGGGTAGTGTTGTATTATGGTGCTGAATAAAAACTCTTGACGTAAATAATACATGACAATTAAGTAGGTATGTGATATACGACAACCAATATATTAAATACAAGGAAATTAAATTAAATCCGAATATATAAACTTCTATTGCACTCACGTACCTTCCCCAAATTTCGCAACTGCTGTTCACCGCCACCCGCTTTCGTAGTCGTAGACTGAATATTTTTTTTCGACAATAATTTTTTAAGATGTTTCAATTTAATAATTATAACTACAAAATGATCTGCTTGTAAAAAATCTTCTGCCTGTTTCACCCGGACTCTAAACATATTATCGTCTATATTAGAACTAAATTCAATCACTTTTACTCGAGTTTTCCCCTGCAAATTAATCCCATATTTACGTAATGATTTGTTGACATTTGATGTATCATCTTTGGAAATCAGTTGAAGTAACGGAGGTTGTAAATCATCACTAATCTATAAATATGTAAAAAAAAGTATGAAATTATTTAATGAAACTATGAATATGGTTGTATGCGTTTCAATTCATCTATCACAAATAAAAACATCTGATGTAAGTTTATTGGAATTTTCTTAAGGTTAAGTCCGACCGTTATCTGAAAGACATTCAGCATAATGAAGTTCGACTATAGTTTATTCTTGTGATAATACTGGACTAAAGTAAATTTTACTGAGGTTTTCTAAAGCTACATGGAGCTCCAATTCAATAAGTGTTTAAGGCTATGAACTGATAGTTTCTCACGAGTGCGTAAAACTGATCAGTCCTCCGTAGGATTGAATCGTTTCTGAAACTAAGACGGGTTTGGAATCTCCAAGTATTTCTTTTTACCCCTTCAATTGCTTGTTTAGAAACTGTAAGTTTAATACTTCAAAGATATTCACGCTTTACCCTATCCCACACTGTTTATGAAGACAGTTGTACAAGAACAGGGTGTGCAGAGATGACAGATTTTCAATGAAATGAGCTTAAATATCAAATGACCTTTCCATAATTCTAGTAAACACCATAAAATCAGGAACTTTGTGTCGATTGTATCATAAAATATAGAAAATAGAAAAATTCCTCATGGGGTTCTAATTGCTTTCAACTAAATATAGTACCAATAGACGAGTACATGAACCGGTTCTTATTGGGTTGTTCACTGAATTAGTTTAAGTTAATCATCCACACTATATTTATTCGCTTCGTTGTTTTAAATGAGTAAAATTCAGTTCAAACTGAGGTTCAGATACCCATTACCTACTTACGCCTCTTAACCGTCGCAAAGGAGCATAGGCCACCCAACAGCATTCTCCATCCCACCCTGTCCTAGGCAATCCTTTCCAGTTGTTGCCACTTACTATTCGTTCTTTTGATGTCTGCTTTCAATTTCATGGCACAGTGTCTTCTTTGGCCTTCCTCTTTACCGCTTTCTTTCAGAATTCAAAGTTAGTGCTATATTTCCATGCTAGTTCCTTCGTCGTATCATAAAGCTGTTTTATATTTCCTTCTCTTACAGCTTTTTCAGCGGTTGTTGCTAGCTCCTCCACGTATTTCTGCTTGTCAGCTATAATAGTCTTATTCACTTGCTTGTTTGCTTCAGTGTATCCAACTTGTGTCTTCAATGTCTCTGTTCTTGTTTGACTGTTGTTAATTACTGTCCTCTTGTTCTTCTTTTCTTGAATCTTGTCCAGGGTTTCCATAGAGATCCATTCCTTAAGATGACACTTCTTGAGGCCCAGAACTTGACATGTTGGAGTTAGTGCTTCTTTAACCCCTTCCCAGTTGTCCTCCATAGTAGCCTCTTCTTCTCTGGGTAGATCTTGTAGGGCGTGGAACCTGTTGTTGAGAGCTGCCTTGAATTCGTTGAGTTTGTCAGTATCTCGAAGGAAGGTTGCATTGGATCTTTGTAATACTGTTTCTTCAGTTGTCCAATGCTTCTTTAGCATTAGTTTCATCTGAGCAACCACCAGTTGGTGGTGATCTGGAGCTATGCCAGCTCCTCTTCTGGTTCTCACGTCTTCTAATGACCTGAATTTTTCGCTGATGCAGATACGACTGATTCGATTCTCTGTGGTGTGATCCAATGAGATACATGTAGCTTTGTGTATGTGTTATATCTAGAGCTTATATTCTGAATATGCCGCATATAACTTGAGCATTCGACGCTAGAACACTCCTAAGTCGTAAAGGAGAGGACAAGTGAAAGGAATGTTATTCCAAATAGTGTCAATTATGGTACAAAACTGTCAGGTATTTGTAGTTTTCAATAAAAGCGAAATCATCATTGCTGAAAAAGGATATCAAATGGTTCTGGTCAACAGAATGCCAAGAAGCATTCCTAAAACTAAAACAACTATCATCAAACCTTCTGCTTACACACTGTGATCCAGATCTTCCAACTGTGGTCGCAGCAGATGCGTCAAACTACGGAATCAGGGCAGTAATTTCACATACCTAGCCTGACAGGTCTATGAAGGCAATCGTCCACGCTGCACGGTTGCTGACTATTGCAGAAAGGAACTACAGTCAGATAAAGAAAGAAGTCCTCTCCATTATATTCGCTGTAAAAAGTTCCACAAGATGCTGTTTGGAAGACAGTTCACCTTACTAACAGACCATAAACGGCTACTGACAGTTTTGGATCCAAGAAAGGTCTCCCTGTATATACAAAAACCGTCTACAGAGATGGGCAACTACACTGCTTGACTATGATTTCAAGATAAAGTATCAACCGATAACGGATTTCGGACAGTCAGATGCCCTCTCAAGATTAATTAGTTCCCATGCAAAACAAGAAGAAGAGGTGCTTGAAGCTTCCATAGATGTTGAAGCTGAGGTTCACACAGTACTGGCAGACGCAGTTTCCAGACTTCCGGTCACATTCGAAGCCATGAAAGAAGCTAATGAGAAGGACAATGCGTTGAAGGTTGATCGCCACTGTCTACTCAACAAGTGGCCTGTGTGAGACTTGGGAGTGTTCTAGCGTCGAATGCTCAAGTGTGCGCAGCATTTTCTTCTTCGTGATCAGAGTACAGCAGCATCTTTCCCGAATCTATACTTTGCTGTCCAGTTTGGACCCAATGGGTTTCGCTGATTCCGAGCACCACCAAGTTGTATCCCTTCGTTTCCGTAACTATTTGATTGATCGTCCCGGTCTCCCACATTGTCCGAACATTCCATGTACCGATATAAGTTGTTACTCTGATTGTTAGAAGGGGCATCGACCTCGTGACTTCGGAAGAATATTGACTTCCATCATGAGGCGTCATAAATCTTCCTTGAACTCGGAGGGTAGAGTTTAATTGGTATAATTTATTTTGGTTAGTGCTTTTTAGCAAGGTTGTGTTGTACGAGATCGGGGTCGACGGCCACATACCCAACCCTTCCCCTTTACCCGGGCTTGGGACCGGCAGTAGATCTAGTGGAGCTACAAGCGGGGTTGAGGTTCATATAGCATGATATTAATTGTTCCCGTGTTATAAAAAGAGGACAAGAAAAAATCTTAATAAGACATATAAAGCAAATAAATAAATTCTAAAACTTACAAAGTTGACTGAACAATGGGTTTTCCTAATCACTTTTTGTATATCACTTGACAATACAGTAATAAATTCGGATGGTTTATCAGAAGGAGTAAAATTAAAATATTGTTGTACACGTGTTGGTAAATTATCTAATCGTAATCGAACTGATGATGATTTCATTAGTATTTTATAACCATTTGGTTTGTTTATTTCATCAGACTTCGTTGATAACGGTGAAGGTGATATTAATAATAGGGAAGTAGTGGTCATTAGATGACAAACATTTTTACATTTTTGTTTATACGATATAATCAAGTGGGGTATACATTTCGGTAGATTCATGAAAATATAATTTATTTTCGATATTTCTTTTTTCTATATTTGAAAGGTTGCTTTACTAGAGTAAGGGAATTAAAGTACTAACAATTATAAGAAACAATGAATAATCAAATATTTTACACATGTAGATCTAATCTTTTGTTAATTTTTAAAGAATTGCATATAGCCATTCAAATAGTAAAATGAAAAAAACTGCTTATCAAAAAGTTATGCATTTTAAAAAAAGTATATCATTTTGAAACAATCTAGTTAAGTGTCTACTTCTCATCAATAGTAACTGGAAGGTGAAATACGGGAGGCTAGCTAAAACACACAGATTAGTTTTTCAGAGTATAAGCAAAATAATTAATGTAGGACAATTAGTGGGTGTAATTTTTCACTATATATCAATCTTTAAATCATTGGAGTTTCTAAAACAATGACCTTGAAGTAAACTGACGACGTACTGTTAAGACTGGAAACGGATTGCATCTATTCCAATAAGATAACAAGATTAAGTCACTAAACTAAAGCACTAATTCTTTTATCACTTATGAATGCAACTAAAACTTATTCAGAAATCTTGGTGCTTACAGTAAAAGTGGATGATGAGTGTTAAACCCGACGACAGCAATGCAGAATACGACACGAAATGTTTATATGAAACATAAAATACTGTGGATTATACATAATGGGAACTGCCATAATCAACAAGTACCCATGCATACAAATGATTGATTCGAACAAACGTTTAAGTTGAAATTGTGTTAACCTTCACTAACTCGGAAAATATAGTCCGTCATGATCTGCTTGTTAAGGTATCCCACAATCAGACATCTCTTACATTAGGGATATATATACATATCAAATTTTCAAAATATAAAGAATAATTTTAATAAAACTTTTTACAATCCAACACGAAGATCTGAATCGATTACACCATTATTTTATTTAAAAACCTATCGTTAAAGTGTACAGACAAGTCTTTTCAACAAAGAAAAAACGAAATATTTAAAATGTAACAAATCCTGCTGGTTAGAATTTTTTTAAGTTATCATACAACTTCACTTTTCATTGTAACTGGAAGATATTAACTAGGTAAATATAAATGAATATCCAACTAGAATTAAATCAAAGTGCAACTGACGGAAACATATGAATAGCGATTATTTTTACAAACAAGATATATAACACATATTTGCATGAACTGATCCCTAGTGCTGACTGTATTCTATCTCTCATGTTGCAATGTACCCACTAGGATAAGTGACCTGGTATCTATTTATCGACAAGACAATGAATTGAGGTTTTGTGAAATTTATGATCAGTCGAAGGTAATATCACCTTTTGTTAGGCAGTGAACGATACGGATTCGAATCCTACGTGAAAGTTCAATTGCTTCAAAATTAGAGACAAGCCTTAATATTAAGCGATTTGTTTGTTGTTTGAACACATAGATATTGGTACAAGGAAGTACCAAATACATATGCGCCACACTAATCTCATTTGATTTATGAGAGGGCCCAAACCGAAGCGAGAATTTGGGCGGAACCTTTGCTTCTAGTTCTTTGAACACTCAATGGTGAGCTATAGCCTTTACGTACATACTAAGACAAATACTCAGTTGGTCAGACAGAAATAGATGTAGACTTTGTGGACAAGAACTATGTAACCTTTCATTTTGTTTTGATATGCTTGAATTAAAATATGAAAACTAGACCGTGCGGTTGGAATGACAAATAATTAACATACTTGGTAGCTAAATTGAAATGGAATTCTTAAAAATAAAATCTTGATTCGAAAGCTAAATCAGAAAGTTGTGAATAGAATCAAGTAATTATAAAGTCTAACATTAAAATTACTTGACTTGTCTGATTAATAAATCGAAATGAATTGGATACTTTATTCTTGTTACGAGTCACATTAGCAATATTTGAATTAAGTTCATCGATACGTTACTAAAGTCCAACTGTACTTGAAAGGTTAGAAACATAAATCCGTGTCACATGGAGTTATAAGTATTACACTAATAACTACATCACCAATGAAATCTAGGTACATACGATCTACTAGTGCCTAATACAGGATGAAACTTGAGTTTAGTATTCCACCACTAGTTATCAATTAACAGATTAAGTGATAATAATGAAATTAGCTCTAAAATAAGTCATAAATTATAACTGTATTACTCAATAATAAAAAGTGAAATTTAAACAAGATTTTAAAAAATAGGTGTATTCCCATCTATGCTGTGCATACAAGCTCATCATTAGGCGTCCATTCACTTAAAAATCCAAAGTACAAGTGTAACTACGTACTCAAGTAATGTAATGCCGTGATTGAGTACATTTTCAAATACTAGCCGAATAAGAGTAGTAAGAGCAGATTTCGAACATGAAATCGGATAGTTGGAAACCAAATGCTTAGAACACTAAGCCACGTAATAACAGGTTACTGTATTATGTAAAGAGCCAGGTGATTTGTGTTAGGGCCACCAATACTATCGACCTATCGAAACAGTTATAGGTCGTAGTGATTAAGTGTTCAGTTGTTGATTGAAATTTGAGAGATTGAACGAATAAACCACAGCTTTAATAAATTATTCAAGATAACGAAAAGTATCAAAGTTTTAAGCAAATAAGATTATATGAATTAAAAGTGACTGATGCATATAATAATGTTTATATTTACAATAATTAACAATATCCACTCGAAATATTTACAAAAAGGGTAACTGAAAATTTGAAATAGTTATGACTCATGAATCAGACGAAGACGACTCGTTACTATTTTTTGTTTCGTCATACAAATTTTTTAGTCCATTGACAATGAAAGATTGATGATAGTTTAAGTCTTGCACAATTTGCCCTCCTCGATTTTGCTCTAATAACATAACCAAATGACTACGTGCACCATCTAAGCCTTGAGATGACAATGCAGCAAACTCATTCAGTTGCTGTACAGTCATGATCCTATAATCAACAATACCGCCTAAAATGTATACAAAAAATAAAGATGTTGAAGTGATTTAGATTTTTATAATTTTGTTTAAAATTGAAATATTACAACGATAAGGAAACCAAAAGATGGACCATGTGGTTATAAATAGATGTATAAGAAGCTGACCTTAACCACATTTGAATTAATTCTGATAGCTTTTCAAGTACCATAAATGGTTACAATATGACCGTCAGTGTTTTCCAACCGTAACACATCTCAAAGTGGTAAGTTAGATCACTACATCTTTGAACTATTGAGAAAAATTGTGTCCAAACAAACACTAATCAAATGAATATCTCTTTAGTATTATGGATATTTTGTATGCTGAATAGATTGACTATCAAACAACTCATATTAGTTTTAGTGAACAAAGTAACTCTAAATGAAACAAACAATATGGTTAGTTTATTAACCTTCAGACTACTTCAGGAAAAAAGGTAAATTGAAACAAATAAACTTAACTTTTAAAATACTGATCACTCCGAATTGTAGTATATAAAAGGTAGTATTATTACTGTTTTTGTAAAACAAATACTACAGAATTCATATCGAGAAGTACAAATTAAATTTGTGTGTAGCTAATCACAATGTGGTGTGTACTTCTTGTACGGACAGGTATAAATAGTGTGTATCAGGAATTGAAAGTAGAATTCTTACAGATAGAGAAGGAAAACGAAGAGAAAGGGAAACAGAAAGCAATTAGAATAAAAATACGGATAAAAGGATGATGGAGTTTGCAAGGAACAACTGAGGGAAGATGGCTAAATCGTGTATTTAATGTATTGTTTTCATATTTTAGAAATAATGTGTGATTTGGCATAATAAAAACAAATTGTTTTGCTCACCCGAGTCTTCGTTCATTACAACAGTAGTGGCAGTTATAAAACTGGCAAATCATATACAACGACTTAAAAACATCTTGTAAATATAAAACCTAACCAACTTCTACAGATGACATTCCTTGGTTTCTTTAAAAAGGGATAGAGTAGTACTAAAAAATATAGGACACTTATGTTATATTAGCAATTAATAGGATAATTAAATAATCATGATCGCTCGGGAAATATAGAATTCAGAAACAAAAACGAATTTTGGATATGAAGAATTGCTCCATAGTATTTTTGTCTAATCACCTGAGACGGAAAAAATTGAGTGCGTTAGCAACGATAACTACCTCGAATATGTTTTCATAAATACTTGACTACTATTATCTTATATTACTTACTTTCTTAGTAATGATTTATAAAATGATTAATGATATTATCTTTTAGAAAATTGAAGTCAGAAGATGAGTATTTACGCAAAGCTTAGGGTATATGACACCAGAATACAGACGAATAGAGATTATGTAAGACTCAGAACGACAGTGGCATTAGTTGGCATTATCATGGTTTCAATTATCACAAAAATGGAGGCTCTCAACAGGTAAGTATCTATTACTAGTTGACTGTAGTATAACATTTAATTAGTTAAATAACAAAACTTCCTTTTACCTACCAAGCAAAAGAAGAAAATGAACTTTTTTGGTTATGTTTATTGCATAACGACATTTTTCAGGAGTAGGTTCAGAAAACAGATACATATTAGGAATATTTGAATGAAGCATATAGCGTGTAAACATTTCATAACGAGTGCCTTTAGAAGCTTCTCTGTAAAAAAAAGCCAGAAAAAAATGAATAAGTGATAGAAAAATAAAATAAACGATTCATGATGTTAATTCATTAAGCCTTACAATCTGTTGCAACCTACTGATAAGTATATTAAGTACGATGGTACTGATCGACTCATGAATTGTGTCAAGATGATAACAAATAACAAGGTTTATATCTAGATGAGAATCAATACCTTAAACTATGAGGCATGATTTTATTCATCAGCTGAAACAATCAAAGATGTGTTCATACAAGCATTGTATCAGTCAGGAAAATATAGAAACTGAAAGACACATGGATTCTGCAGGGTAATATACTTAATGTTTACATGAGAAACGAAAATACAATATATGCCGCAGGTGAGTTGTTCAGTTTAATGCTTAAACTGTATTGACTGGTCATAAGAATAACTTGGCAAATAATCTTGGATCAGTAATACTAGAATAGTCAGGTAAGGCAGGAGAATAAATGCATTTTAAACTTTTTACTGTTCAAATATTAGGTCACAACTTCAAAAACATTTTCAATCAATTTAGATTTGACAACCGGTTGATATCTCTAGTATGCATCTATTTACTGAGGCTGAAGTACTGATGCACAAACCTGAGCTTCGTAACTACACTAAGCGATGGTAAACGATGTCAGCTTACATCCAAAAAACAGCACTAATCTAAAGACGTAAATCCTCCGCCCTTGAGAATATTGACATGAAAGCAATATCCCGTATTGACTAAAATTTCCTGTAGACATCTTAGACCAGAAGAATATATACTGTATTACTAAACTGTTTTGGCAAATTAATGAAAACACTGGCAAAACATTAATTACGACACATAATTTCAATAGCAGGAACATGAGATAATTAGTGTTAAATATTAAGCAAACTAAATACATAAGAATTTACACCTATTACTTTTCATTAGCTGCCAGTCACTGAAATTCAACAACAGCGCAACAGATGGATAGAATACTTCAAGAAACTCCTGAATAGGCCGGCTCCAATGAATCCACCGGACATCGAAGCAGCACACACAGATCTTCCCATAGACGTCAATCCACCAACGAAGGAAGAAATCAGAATGGCCGTCAGACAAATCAAGAACGGGAAAGTAGCAGGACCCGACAACATACCAACTGAAGCACTGAAGTCAGACATCGAAGTAACTACAAACATGCTTCACCTTCTATTCAAAAAGTTTAGGGAGGAGGAACAAGTGCCGATGAACTGGAAAGAAGGGCACCTCGTCAAGATTCCAAAGAAAGGAGATCTGAGCAAGTGTGAGAACTACAGAGGCATTACACTACTGTCAATACCAGGGAAAATCTTCAACAGAGTGTCGCTGAACCGGATGAAAGATGCAGTAGACGCCCAACTTCGAGATCAACAAGCTGGATTCCGTAAGGATCGATCGTGCACAGACCAAATTGCAACACTACGGATTATCGTCGAACAATCAGTTGAGTGGAACTCGTCACTATACATCAACTTCATTGATTATGAAAAGGCATTTGACAGTGTGGATAGGAGGACGTTATGGAAACTTCTTCGGCACTACGGAGTTCCTGAGAAAATTGTCAATATTATCCGGAACTCATACGACGGACTACAGTGCAAGGTCGTGCATGGAGGACAGCTGACAGATGCATTCCAAGTAAGGACCGGAGTCAGACAAGGCTGTCTACTCTCTCCCTTCCTCTTTCTTCTGGTGGTCGACTGGATTATGAGGACCTCGACATCTGAAGGAAAACACGGAATACAATGGACAGCTCGGAATCAATTAGACAGTTTGGATTTCGCAGATGACCCAGGCCTCCTATCGCATACACACGAACAGATGCAGATAAAGACAGCCAGTGTAGCAGCAGTCTCTGCATCTTTAGGCCTCAACATACACAAGCGGAAAACCAAGGTCCTCAAATACAACACGGATAACAGCAATCCAATCACTCTTGATGGCGAAACTCTGGAAGATGTAGGATCCTTCACATACCTGGGAAGCATCATCGATGAACAAAGAGGTTTAGATGCAAACGTAAAGGCAAGGATTGGCAAAGCAAGGACAGAATTCCTACAGTTGAAGAACATATGGAACTCAAAACAACTTTCAACCAATATCAAAGTGAGAATCTTCAATACGAATGTCAAGGCAGTTCTACTGTAACTGAAACTTGGAGAACTGCAACAACCACCATCAAGAAGGTAAAAGTGTTTATAAATAGCTGTCTGTGCAAAATACTCAGCATCCATTGGCCAGATACCATCAGCAACAGCCTTTTGTGGGAGAGAACAAACCAGCTTCCAGCTGAAGAGGAAATTAGGAAGAGACGATGGAAATGGATAGGACATACATTACGCAAATCATCAAATTACATCACGAGACAAGCCCTAACTTGGAATCCTGAAGGGAAGCGAAAAAGAGGAAGGCCAAAGAACACATTGCGTCGGGAAATAGAAGCAGATATGAAAAAGATGAATAACAACTGGAAGGAGCTGGAAAGGATTACCCAGGACAGGGTTGGATAGAGAATGCTGGTGAGCGGCCTATGCTCCTTCACGAGGAGTAACAGGCGTAAGTAAGTACTTTTCATTAGCTAGTTCTTTACATTCCTTTTGTCAAACCAACAGACAATTATAAATAATGGAAAATAAGAATAGACATTGTAGTATCGGTTGTCATGTTAAGCCCATATACTTTATTCTGGCTTTCGGACAGGCCAATTTATTCATTCTACTTGTGTCATATTTTGACCTTGTTAAGTATTTGCTTATCAATCTTGACTGTATTTATATGAGCGCATATATGTGTGTACACTTCTTATCCCATTAATCACCACATGTCTGTGACCATATTTTTGTGTGACTATAAATATTGATAAATGCTTGGTTAAATGAAGTTGGCTTACCCGCCATCTCCACTGCGCGTCGTTTCGTTTCCTTCTATTCCATTTGCTCCACATACAAAATATATGTATTTAAAAGCCCGTTCTCATTATTTGACTTATTCAATTCCGTTATTGACTAACGCGATTTTAGTCGATGATTATTTACGAGGATAGGCGACAAAAAACGTTCATACGATCTAGTTGAAGTCAGATCCCGGGCCACTAAAGTGAAGAGGCCGTTAACAAACACCATCTGATTTAAATGACGACGAAATAAAGGGCCCCACAAAAGTGGTGAGCCTGCCGCTGCCGCCGCCGCCGCCGAACTCAACGCAGTAAGCTACGTCGATGAGGAAACTTCTGTAATCTATACTTTCGACGAACAAATTCAACGAAGTCAGTGCAATCTCTAATCCGATGCACTCAGCAAAGCCTGTGTAGCACGACATGAACACGCACAATTCGTATTATCTTATCGATACTTTGTTCTCATGTCAACTATTCTCATAGATCCATTTGTCGGTTGTTCCATTATGATTCAGATTATCAGCATATGCTTAGTATTACATTATTGTCATGTCATGACCGAATGTGGGGTTATTCTTTTTATTCGTGCTGACATTAAATCATGACATTCATGCAATTGCACCACTCAACCATCAAATTATAATCTTATGAACATTACACTCCATGTTATGACATTCGAAACTCACTGGACTATATTTTTATTATTCAATAACGTAAAAATTAACCTGCTTTAAGTGAACTCGTTCCAATTTTTTCATGTCATTTTTGGCCTATTATTACATTCATTCACTTAGTCGGTCATTTTCATGTTATCATACCACACATTGTTCATTTCGTTATTGCCTCTTATTATGTCTGTGGATGCCTTTAAATCTGCTAGCTGATTAGTAACGATTATGTTCATCTTATCTATTCGTCCACATGTATAACCACATACCGCATCATTCATCACCCAAAAACATTATTCAAGTATTGCAATTACGATTCTGTTCCCATCGCACTGTATACCAGAACATAGAGTTTAGAGCTGGTCTCTCAAAGATACACACTTGTTCGTCTCATACGTCACCGTCGCTAATCATATGAATTGGTATTTTTATCATGCCTTAGTACGGTTTTGTAACAAACGAGGTCGAGCGCATCTCCCTTAAACCACGCAAACCACTCTAGGCTTCACGACCAAAAAGGAATACGACTCTACGTATCTCGTCTCCTCAGCCACTATTCTGTTACTCTGGTCATTCTACTAATACATATTTAACGATAACTCGATGCATCTGTCATAACGCAAATGACAACGTACACTGACTTCACATTTTATGATTATTATCAATTCCAGTACAGCAACGAATATCACCTGTCGATGAAGCTATTATTTCACGGCTTGACTATTCTTATCCTACAAACGGGAACTTTACGTATTTAAATTCGAATCCACTCATCGCTAATCGACGCTATTTACTCTACTGCGGCTCATCAGAACATGTTTATATATCACTATTCTGTCAGCGTCACAGACCAATTTCTGTCATATTCTACTCTACTTATTTTCACGATTTATTTCGCTGTCATACCCACCAACGATTTATTACTGTTTTTACGATATTTCGAATTGCCCATACAAACTTGATATTTTATCGTTCACAGAGTCACAACATAAGTGCATGGTAAATTTCTGTCTGCTCATTAATTTGCTCATATTCGCATGCTAACGTTTCCATTTTTGTCCGCGCCTTTGCGATATTCATGTATTCTTTTACATAAGTATGACAGTTTCGTATAATACAATCACCCTTCATGTAACACTGTACTTCATCGGGTGTAGTATAATTTTTTCCACTACTTATTGTTATCATTAACCATATGCCTCTTCAATATTATTTCCGAAAACAGACATTTTTTCGAAATAAAAAACAGAACCCACCTTAAAATAGATAATGGGAATCCTTTGAAATGCATATCCTTTAAAAATAATTTATTTTTTACAGGCACCATTTCACGAGCTTTATGACACAACTGTTGAAAAACTAATACCATATTATTATTCATCGGCTTCAAAAAATCTTCTTTAGCTCTCTCAATCAGAAATTTTCGGTATGGATTATTTTCTTGCTAAACAAATGTACATTTAATAACAATAATAATGATAAACTGAGATTAGTATTAGAAAAGTGCTTAAAATTGAGAATACAAAAGTACCAATCTTACTGATGTCACCTATTAGCCAATCATGCGGTTATGTGTTTAGCTTTAAATCGCATGTCGAATGTGTAGAGGGAGTAACGATGCAACTCAAGGTTGTTTAATTACAAGTACGTAAGACAGGATTCTAATTTACAACCTAACTATCGCAAGTCAAATCCTTCAAACTTTTAAGTCATTATTCCATCACTGGTAGAACTAGACGAATTGCGAACAAACCCCATTATTACATGACAAAACAGGAAATATTGATATAGAACAACATTGATATAAAACAATACTATTATACACGATGAGTGGGTTTACAGATACGAGGTCAATCCCTAAAAGCCTAAACGAAGAAAGTATCGCCTCCAGAAGAACACCAAATATTACAAATAAAAATGAAAAAAAAGTAAACAGCCTTAACGAACACTGAGGATTTTGATTTAGATTAAACTTTAGGATAAACTTTTTTGAATAATAAAATTCAAGAGCAGTCTTTTTTAATTTATTCATTGCTTGCAAACAAATTCTCTATAATAACTCTACAGGTGTGGATACTACGTTTAATTCGACTATTTTGTTGTGCATCTTATTAATTTTAACACTCATGCTATGGCTTCTAATTCAAAAATTCCATTACTTTTATCATGATTTGAGAAGAAACAACTGTAAAGATTTCCAACGCTAATGGTCCTATATAACTTATAACAGGAAAATTAATAAGTACTCAAGATATTACTCTACGAATAAACAGTATCATCGATGTCTAGTGCATGTTGGTAAGGTGTGTTAAAACTCCCAAACAGGAAATTACAAGCTGTTTGCAGAGTTGGTAAGTTGTAAATATTATGTAACCAGTGATTATGAGTGATTTGAAAATTCTATCAGCTTCGAATAAGTTAGTGAATAACAAAAACTCTTAATTTGTCAAATTACACTACTTGTGATAAAGACAATATTTGAATGCGCTTAAAAAGAGATAATTTATCGTTTAGTAGTTCAATCTAACAACTAAGGAATGTGGTCATTGAGTGTGGAAAACACCCGACGGTTAAAAATATTTGAGAGAGATTAACTGAATAAGGAATAAAGATCAGAAATGTGTTATCTAATCCTATTTATTGCCTAGATCAAATTAACATAGTGTCTGAAGAAAAAAACGTAAATCGCAAGTGAATGAGAGTGACACGTAATCATAATCTATGAGGTCTCGACTGGTTCAAGGTATGTATGGAGCAATAGTTTTCCTTGAAGATGAACAAAAGACAGCTTCAGAAAAGAAATGCAGACATGTAATAACCCGGCCACAAAGTAACAGCAGTGCGGCATATACAAATAGACCTTATATTTAATTGGACATTTTTTTATTGAATACGTTTTATTCCCTCAATAATTTAATTTACCTTATTTTCTTGGTTCCTTTATATCATTTTTAGAGTTATATTTTACTACATGACATATGATAACTTGGACCGACTAACATTTGTGCTAGGTTTCACATTGTTTCTATTTATGTGCACGACAAATATGATAGTGAAAATGTAGCGTATAATGAACAATCCAAGTAGGTATTTACAATTTAGATAGTTGAATTAAGTTTAAATTTAGTAATATGATGTGCTGAATCAAGTTACCCCAATTATAAGTGAGACATATAAAAAGAGTGAAAAAAAATCCAGAAAAAGGTCTTCATATATGAAAGTGTTCGTTACATTTACATGAAGCAAAAAAGAGAATAAGTCTTTAGTCTGATTAACCCAAATAACTTTATAAATAAGAGCAACTGAGGATATATGACACATCGACTGTCAAGTGCGCAACCATCAACGGAAATATAAATTCGTCGGTTGGTTATAAACAACATAGGACCTGACAGAAATATACGTCAACCTCGGTCATTACACAACATCAGTCCAGTGAGAGGCTAACAAAATGCATATTAAGTAAATTGATATAACGGTAGTTACAGTGATAGAGAAAAACTAAAGGTGAAGGATTTCAGTTCAAAAAACCAATCAAATTGAGAAGATCGATCCTCCGGAGATAAAACAAACACAAATTCAAATTAAACAACATCTTGAATAATCTCTGAAATAACGCCTACTATGGTGTGATAAGAAAGTAGGTGGCAAACAAATTTTACTGGATGTCTCAACCAACACAGCGAATCTTCAGATCTATGGGATGTGACTCCTGTGACACTCCTGCAAATATGGCCATATTCTAGAGCTTAATGGAGAGTAACAATATGGTCGATATGACCTATTTTTCTGATTAATTGGGCAACATAAATCCTGTATCTATTCTTAAACATTTGGACAGCATTACCACTGCACAAGGTCAAGTCTAATAGAGGAATCCAAGGAACAACACTTAGGACCTCAGAATTATGCTGAAACACACACGTAGAGGGTGAGAGGAATGCCATAAATATTGTAAAATGTTTCAGTTAATGCAACCTAAAAACCGTGTTGTGAGAAGTATTAGCTGTTTATCATGTTGATGATGAATGGTATATAGCTAGCAAGACCAGATCAGAAAGGGTATTTGAACCCTATGAGTTGTGATTTTAAATCTAGTGACTAAAAGATTGGTTAAAGATACATCTTTGAACACATTACAATAGTCAGTTGCTTCCCTTCGTTATATGAGGATTGCTTAGGTGTAGAAATAATCCAGAATACTTCAGGGGATCATTCGTGACTATTAAAGACAGCTTAGCTGTTCAGAATTAGATTTCGAATTTGTGGTGTATCTCGGACTAAATAAATGAGTATCAACTATCAGCAAACACGGTTAAAGACCAACCAAAATATTTACTGTTGCATAGAGATAAAGAAGAAAAGTGGAAAGGCTAACCAAGCTCCCTGAAAGAGACATAGTGTACGTCCATCATACGAATTAGTAATATTTTTCGAAAGTCACCGTTGGAAAAGTACATAACTTAAAGTTTCGAAGTTTAGCGTCATAAGAGAAAGTTGTAATCACTCACACGTAGTCTATTTTCTTCTTGTCTGCGCAGACGCTGTTCGACTGGATTCACGTTAATAGGTGGTATAACGGGCTTTGTGACCTCTCGAAATAAACGCTGTTCAAGCGTACCCGGATCAGGAACATAGCGAAACCTGATCGACTGTCCTGTGCGACCGAGTAAACAAAACCTGATATTATGAAAAATTGGTAGCTGATTCATTGCTTGTGCATTAAATAATTTAGTTATCTGGAAAAATTTTTTTAAAAAAAAAGCAAAATTAAAGTAGTACAAGCTATTCATCAGTATACATCACTTGTTTAGAAAGGTGAATCGATAACATGTATTACTTATCAATCCGCTTTTAGGATAATAAAGTGGGTTGATTCGTGATCACAAATTCTCAGAATTAATGCTTTATAATTTGATGATGTAGGTCGTTTACGAGATGAATATTGAATAATCAAAAGATGAAATCAAAATCACTCAACAACAACCCTTTGGGAAGTCATTTTTCTCAAACAGGCTAATCGATAACACAGTTCTGTATAAGGAATATAAAGCAAAGTTGAATTATGAAATAGAAAAACAAAAATCCAATTTGTCAGAGTCCACATCAACATAAAGAGGGAGAAATCATAGAAAAATGATACCAGTAGTGTTGAGGAACTAAAACAAAATCGACTAATTTTCTGGTAGGAAGACAACCCATAAAAATTCACATAAAAGGTTACGAAGAATCAGTGGATTTCAGTCAGTAACAACGTAGAACCTGTACGTATGTACATTGATTAAAGTTGCCACACCTCATTGGCACGAAGAGACGTCGGGCCAAATCCAACAATACTAGAGATAGTAACAGTATAAGTGTTAACAAGAAAGATTAAGTCTCGAAAATACTACTCGAAAGGAAAATATAAATTAGTGAGATAAAGACAAAAAAAAATATGTTTTTAAAATATCAGAATTTGGGGATAGACAAAGAATGGATGCACCTGCGACATTGCAAACGATTTTGAGCTGTCAGTCAAAGTCTCTAACAATTGGTTATGATAATCACGAGAGCCCCAACCAGGTATTCTATACCTATTAACATGACTCAATCCAATAGTCAATGTCTCTATGGACTGGTGCCGTCTTTCTTCCAACCTGCTACATCAGAAAAATGCCCGTCAAGGTAAGCGGTGTTTGGGCATACGTAACACATGAGGATTTACAACCTCATAAATCAATTTCCTGTCTTTAACCGTAACAGCACACGAGACCAGATTGGTCACATTCAAATCCTTCCTACATCTCCTAATACCTCTTTTATCTCCATGACTAACCCTCCTTACGTCTCTTTATCACCTCGTACTGCTAGGACAAACGATTTGAGTACGTGGAACGTTATTCCTGGTCTCCTGAAACCACGCTTTAAACTACACGTAGGGGCTTTTAACGTCCGAACACTGTGCCAAATAGGACAGCGGGCTTCCTTAGCTAAGACTTTAGAATCCCGCACCATCGATGTATGCTGCGTCTCCGAAACGCGCATACAGGATCCGAGTAGCGTCATTCATTTGACCTCACCATGCCAAAATAAAGAACCGACTCGATTCACACTTCGTGTATCTGGAAGCCCAGATTCTGCTTCCCGTGGCCTCGCCGGCGTAGGTATAGCATTGAGTCCTAGGGCAGAACTAGCTGTCTTAGAGTGGATCCCAGTAGACAGTCGTTTATGCGCTGTCCGACTAAACGGAACAGTAAGGATCCGAAAAGATAGGGACACTCGTCGTCTCTGTCTATTCTCCCACCGGCTGTAGCGCAGATGATGTAAAAGATAAGTTTTACAGAAAGCTCTCCGACCTCCGAAAAGCTAGGCGCTCTGATGTAGTAATAGTGGCCGGTGACTTTAATGCTCAAGTCGGTAAACTAGATGAAAGGGAAAGACACCTGGGTGGATCTTCCAGCGTCGTGGCTCAAAAAACAGATAATGACGACCATCTGTTGCAGCTATGCACAGATAACTGCCTGTTCCTTACAAATACTAACTTTAAGCATAAGGAAAAACATCTTTTAACATGGCGACCCCCTAATTCGTCCCAACGTTGGACCTAAATAGATCACATCGCTATCAGCCACCGATAGAGGGGTTCGATAGAAGACTGTCACCCATGCTTAGATTCAGAGCACATGCTTAAATTCAGATCATGCTCTAGTACGAGCGCGTATCTGTCTGCGTCCTACTGGACGTAGGAAAGACGCTGCAAGTAAACCTCTTAGGACCCTACTTAATGATAGTCAAGCTAAGAGTATATTTCAGGAACAACTAGGAAAACAGTTAGGCAGCCATGTATGTGATGCCCACCCCGATGCAGCATGGAATGATATACGAAAAGCTGTGGAAACACCAGTGATATCTGCTAGTAAGGTAAACCAGAAGGTTAGGGAGCAACACGATCTTAGCAGCATCTATCGCGCTGATAGATGCTCGGAAACTCACTCCACCTAGCTCTGAACATAATGAAGAACGGAGTCAGCTTAAGCGCAAGTTGACAAGAAGTCTACGCAATGATCGTGAACCGTGGTGGGTAGCGAAAGCAAGAGAGATGGAAAAGGCAGAGGCAATAAGTAATAGCAGACAATTTTTCAGACTTGTTAAAGAAAACGGGTATTAGGAAACCGACTGTCAGCGAAACACTCTCAGAGAAAGATGGACATATTATACATTCTCAATCCAGGAGATTGGATCGATGGGCAGAACACTTTACGGATCAGTTCAACTGGCCTTCAGCCACACTTCGGTTTCCCATGATCTCCAGTCAACCTGAATGGCAAGTTAATGTAGGTCCTCCGTCCCTTTACGAAGTTGAAAAAGCCATAGGAAATCTGAAGCGAGGGAGAGCAGCAGGATCTGACAGGTTTACTACTGAGATTTTTAAGGATGGTGGTTCAGTATTAGCAGTGAGATTAACTGAGGTCTTAGGTAGAATTTGGAAACTGGACGTAATCCCATCTGACTGGACTCAATCATTGATTATACCAGTCTATAAGAAAGGACAAAAGTCCTCTTGTGACAATCACAGAGGAATCAGTTTGACTAATATAGTGTCTAAAATATTAGCTTCAATAATACTTCGACGCCTAACCAAAGCTCGTGAAGAGCAGATTAGAGAAAATCAGGCTGGTTTTCGACATGGACGTGGTTGTATAGACCACATATTCACACTATGTAAGGTTCTAGCACACAGACACACGTTCAGACGCCCCACAATCGTAGTACTTCTCGACCTTAAGGCGGCATTCGACTCTGTTGATCGTAAGGTTCTACGGCAGTGTTTGTCACTGAAAGGAGTACCAAAGTACATTAACCTTATAAAGGCTCTCTACTCGAACACAACTGGTAGAGTGAGAGCTTATGGCGAACTGTCATCAGAATTGATTACCTCAAGTGGTGTTCGTCAGGGCTGTCCACTCTCTCCATTCTTGTTCAACTTTGTCGTCGACGTACTTTTAGAGGTAACACTTTCCTCGTCTAGATTTCCAGGGGTTGAACTTGTACTGGGAGATTCACTTTCTGACCTAGAATATGCCGATGACATAGTTCTATTTGGTGAAGACGCTGACAAAATGTTATTATTACTATTATTTATTTGAACACATGAATATTGGTACAAGAGAGCGCCAATATATATGCGCCACACAAAACAATGAGAATTCGAAGAGAAATAGAAAAAACACCTAAGGAGCGCAAAAACAGAGAACATTAACGAGGATATTGGTATAAGGTAGTATGGTAGAAATGAGGGAACGGAAAGGTACAATCAGAAGAAATCTTTCAGTTAGGAAAGAAACAACCACTTTTTATGAAGAAAGTAAAAGAAGGTTACAGCAGGATCGCCACTGGCTTCTATTCTGAGCCATATCTGATAACGTCTCTAGCCACTGTGTAGCACCATCTCTCAGACCCCAACCAGGGAGTCGTGAAGGACCAACAGAAGCCAGTCCTTTGCAGCTTTCTTTCATACCACGACACCATGTCATGCACTGACCACCTCTCCGCTTCTTCCAACCAGTCCCAGAGTCGGCAAATAATGCACGACGTGGAATTCTCTGGGACGACATTCGTAGAACATGTCCAAGCCACCGAAGTCGATGTTTCAAGATGGTGACACCAATTGAATTATCATCTCTGTGCCCGAACACACGATGCCGAACCTCTGCATCACTGACATGGTGTTGCCACTGAATGTCAGCAATCCTCCGGAGACAACGATGATGGAACACAGAGAGTCGTCTAACGTCCTCAACTCGGAGAGGCCAGGTTTCACAAGCATAGAGCAAAACTGCTCTCACCGACGCGTTGTGTATCCGACCTTTCACAGTCAGACTAACATCACGAAGGCGCCAAAGATGGCCCAGATTGGCATAAGCCGCTCTGGCTTTCACTATACATGGATTGATCTCATCACTCACGCCATCACCAGCACTTATGCAGCTACCCAGTTACACGAACTTCTCGATTACGTCTATCTGCTCACCATCCAGGGTGAGTACAGGATTAGAATCCTGCCAGTCTTGTAGAAGTACTTTGCACTTCGAAGGTGCAAAGCACATACCATACCTACGGACACTGACAAAATGTAGAGTCTTCTGACCACTCTAAGCAACAATGCAAGCATGTTCGGGATGCGATTCTCTCCCTCGAAATGCAAAATCTTGCTTCAGGATTGGGTTGCATCGACACCCGAACTAATGATAGGGAGTGAAGTAATTGAGCGTGTCGATCGCTCCACTTATCTTGGAAGTCTCGTCAGCCCTTGTGGTCTGGTGTGTGACGAAATCTCAGCACGGATACAGAAGGCTCGACTAGCTTTTGCCGACTTGCGTCATTTATGGCGTAGGCGAGATATCCGTCTATCAACCAAAGGACGTGTTTACTGCACGGCAGTTCGTTCCGTCCTACTTTACGGCAGTGAAACATGGCCAGCAAGAATAGAGGATATTCGTAGGTTACTAGTATTTGACTATAGGTGTCTTCGAAATATTGCTCGTATATCCTGGTACCATCGAGTAAGTAACGCAGTTGTTAGGAAACGGGTACTAGGTAAGGATGGCAAATCAATTGATGACGGAATGAAACTTCATCAGTTGAGATGGCTGGGACACGTGTTACGTATGCCCAACCACCGACTGCCTCGACGTGCGATGTTCAGTGGTATAGGAGTAGGTTGGAAGAA